TATTTGCATTATTTGGTTTAATTTCTAATGCCCTATCAAGCTAGTCTTAAGGATAATATTTACTACAATTTTGTGCAAATATTATTGCCAAGCATCCAAAAATTATTTTTGATTCTGATGAATTTTCTTACATTTTCAGAAGATATATTAGTTTTTATCTTAAAACTTGATAATTTACTAATAGATGAAGGAGAAATTTGGGATTATATTATTATGTAGGAATTGCTCAAAATTCATCTTTACCTCCTAATCTCGATCAATGATCTGATGAGCACTTCTTAGCTTTAAAAAGTTTATGCCTTCCTTTAATTCGCTATTTTCAAATCTCTGGTAAAGATACTTTTAACAATATTTGGCCTTATCAGAAAATCATTGAACAAACTTTATGAGCTGATATTATATTAAGATTTATGTCTCCTAAGAGAACTATTACCATATCACGCGTTTTATTCTCTCTTGCTAATTTATTTTCAATGTTATCATTACATGATAATGATGCATCTGAAATTAGCGCAAAAAGTAAATTATTGGATTTAAGAAATAGTGAAGAAATTTATTGTAAAAATCGCAAATACGAAGAAGCAATTGTAAATTCTACTAAACATTAGAAATTGAACCAAATAATGCATTTTTACATTAAAAAAATTGTGGTGTAACATATCTTAAGATGAAACGATATAAAGATTCACTTTTAGATTTAACTAAAATATTAGAAATTAAACCAAATAATGCATTTTCATTAAATTGTCGTGAAAGCACTTATCGTAAATTAGGTAAATATGAAAAATCTATTGTAGATTTAAATAGGGCATTAGAAATTAAACCAAATAATGCAAATATACTAACAAGTCGTGGAGAAACTTATCTTCTAATGAGCAAATGTGAAGAGTCGCTTGCAGATTTAAACAAATCATTAGAAATTGAACCAAATAGTAGATTTGTAAAAAGAAATCGAGTACTTGCACTAAGAAGCTGTGCAAACGTTTATCGTATGTCGGGCAAGTATGAGGAATCACTTGCAGATTTAAATAAATCATTAAAATTGAATCATATAATGTATTTGCATTAAGAAGTCGTGGAGAAATTTATTGTTTAATCGCATGTTAATTTCAATAAGTCATTAGTGATTGAACCAAATAGTGCAATTGCATTATGTATATGAGGTATACCTATAATAAAGATGAATATTGTACAACAATAATGGCGCAAAAAATTGGGGATTCTTTCATTTTTTTTTTTTTTTCCTAAAACACGATCCTACAAATCGAATTTTGATAATCACAGGATAACCAAAAAATTGTGGGTGTAAAGTTCAAAGAAAACACATAAGAAAATATAGGACCTTATATACATCGGAATAGGATCTTTAAAAATTATCAATAGAATAATCTGCCTTCTTTAATCAAGGATTATTGACTCTGGATTGAATTTTTTTTTGTCTGAATTCCTTTGTATAAAAAAATCTACAGGTTTTCCCTTAGAGACAATACTTTGGATTTAAAAGGTTTTATCAACCGTTACTTATTTTACACAATTATGACTTCTAATAATTTAAACGAACTTATTAAAAGTAGTCAAGAATATGATGTTATTATCGAAGTTGGTCAAGCACCAAACATTCAAGCATTTAAAGCACATTCTATAATTCTGAATTCCCGATGCAAATATTTTAAAAGTAAATTAAATGCGATTAATTATAATGACAAAAATGTGAAAATAATAAAGCAACCTAATGTTTCCATTGAAGTATTCGATATTATTATCAAGTAAGTATTATATTTGATAAGAATATATTTTGAAAAAAATTTAAAAAGTTTTAATAAGTTTATATTATATTGTACAATAGATATATTTATGATGAAACAATTTCGTTGGAAAATGTTAATACGTCAACAGTCTTTGATCTTTTAATCGCTTCGAATGAATTGGGTCTTAAAGAATTGATTAAGCATATTCAATTATTTTTACTTGAGAATAATACTTCTTGGTTACGTCTTAATTTTTCTCATGTTTATCAAACTAGTCTTAAGAATGATAATTTAAAATATTTACAAAAATTTTGTGCAAATATTATTGCCAAGCATCCAAAAATTATTTTTGATTCTGATGAATTTCTTACTCTTCCAGAAAATCTTTTAATTTTTATCTTAAAACTTGATAATTTACAAATTGATGAAGGAAAAATTTGGGATTATATTATTAAGTGGGGAATTGCTCAAAATCCTTCTTTACCTCCTAATCTCGATCAATGGACTGATGAGCACTTCTTAGCTTTAAAAGGTTCACTTCAAAAATGCCTTCCTTTAATTCGCTATTTTCGAATCTCTGGTAATGATGTCGTTAAGAAAATCCAACCTTATCAGAAAATCCTTGAACCAACTTTATGGGCAGATATTACGTTAAAATTTATGTCTCCTAAAAGAACTATTACCACATCACGCGTTTTACCTCCTCGTACTAATTCACCTACAGCAATTGAATCAAAAAATCAATTATTCGGTTTAAGAAATAGTGGAGAAACTCATCGTGTAAAGGGTGTAAAGGGTAAATACGAAGATGTACTTGTAAATTTGACTAAATCATTAGAAATTAAACCAAATCGTGCGGTTGAATACTGCGATCAAGTTGATATCTGCATGAGCGCTCCAAAGTCGTTCACTCTGAGCAAGTCTCTTCCACAAGGTGGACATTTACAATATCATCCTGATGTAAACATACAATCAGTGAATCAACCGTTGATTGATCCAGAAGAATCTGCAGATAATGCTCAAAAACAGTATGCATTTTATTTTAGTTAATGCTATTACAAACTTAGTAATAATATATTTTGTTTATTTTTGTTATAGAGCGATTCTATGCGAATATAGACGTCGTCGTAGAGAAGCACATAACTCTGGTGAGCTAAATGTTTATTAATATTTATTTATGATATTTATTTATTATATGTATTAATATCAGTCTTTATTTACGTTAATGTTTCAAGTTGAACATCGTCGAAGGGACAGTATAAATGAAACGATTCAGGAAATATCGACACTTATACCTGATATTTATAATGATTCTTCTAAACTAAACAAAGATGTGATCCTTGACAAAGCGATAGAATATATCAAACATCTTCAACAGATGGAGGGTGAACATCGAGCCTTCAACATGATGTTGGAAAATAGCGTAAAAGATATGAAACCTGGGATACCAATCAAAAAATAGTTTAGATTTTAAATTCTTCATCACAAAGTAGCTTCTCCTCTTTAGATAGTAATAATAATAATAATGTATGTTCATAATCTTCTGGTTCTCTATTAGCTATATTCCTTATTATTATTATTTTTTTTATAATCACTTCATTTTGTGTTATATGTCAATATACTATTAATATATCTTTGCTTGAATTTATTGGAATTTATCTAATTACTATTTTATTTTATTACTTGGTGTATTTTTTTATTGTTTTTTGTTTAAAAAAGGCTATTATTTCTTTGCTAAACAATTGCTATAACTTAAAACATTAAGGAAGGGAAGGGCCTTTAGTTCAGCATATTTTGATTCCAATCGTACCTTCTTTCCAAGTAGGGTTAGGGATTAGAATAGATTCTAAAAACTATAATCGATTTAAAATCGATGATTGAATTCTATATAACTTATACATCATTTAAAGACTAATCTTCACAAAATCTATCATCTTCAGTAAAGTTTTTAATCATAAAAGTTAAAAATAAAAATCAGTCACTATAAAGATGGATGAGTACAAAACAATACGCATTATAATTATTAATAACACAAAGTAATTACAGAGAGCATGTTTAATATAATTATGCGTGACAATTTTAAAAACATGATACAACCTACCAAATATTTCCGTATTTTCGCCTATGAGCGTTATTTCAGAAATCGTATCTTCTTAAAGTAACATAGTTTCAAAATAACACACATAGGCGTCCCGAAATAACGCGCACCTCATATACTTTATGATCATGACTTGTCAGACTAATAAATCTATTTGGTACGTTAATAAATCATCTTTATATTCATGCGTTGAATGAAATTATTTGAAGGGTATTAGGCAATCAAATTGTAAATAAGTATTTATTAATTACTGGTATGTTGAAATAAAGAAATCTTAAAATTTCAATATCAAGTTAACATAAAATCATAACAATATATACTAAACACAAATAGCGAAATTGGTTATTTTGGCAACACTAGATTCCTGTAGTTAAAGCGAATTTATAAATTTGACAATCATATGAAATATCATCTATCTGGAATAATCTTAAAATTTATGGATTAACTCAAAACACAGTAACAAATGAATATTTGCTGATATTTCAATACATTGATGGTGGAAATCTTTATAAGTTTTTAAGAATAAACTTTCAAAATCCTACTTGGCAGACTAAATTACAATTACTAAAGATATTTCAGAAGAATTACGTCAAATTCATAACGCAGAATGTACTCATGCTGACTTTCATAGCGGTAATATTTTACAAGATCAACGCACTAGCGAAAGTATGCAACCTTACATCTCAGATCTAGGAATGTCTAAAAAGATTAACGAAAACATTTCTGAAGGTATTATTTATGGAGTCATGCACCAGAGGTTTTATTAAGTAAAGAGTTTAAAGCTGCTGATATATATAGCTTTGGAGTCATCATGTCAGAGATATCAACTGGACAAAGACCTTTTGATGGTTATAAATTTGATATTGATCTTGTAGTAAAGATTTCAATGGACTGCTATATTAAATTGGCAATGCAATGCATGGATTCTATATACAAGTCACTCTCGTTATAGTGAACTCTCGATATAGTAAAGACTATTTAAAATCTCGATATAGTGAAAATAAGCTCAAAGCCAGTCTATATAATATAAAATTCTCTCGATATAGTGAATTTTTTAAAAAAATTTTTATTAATGGAACGACGAACACTTCACTATAACGAGAGTGACTTGTATGATTTCGAGTATAGAAAATCTTAATGCAGGCCAAAATTACATAAAGCTGTCTGCTTTAATACTGTTATGGTAAAAATTTTGAAAGTCACTTGATATATATCAGTACTTAAACATTTCTAATATTAAAGCCAAAAAATATTATAACTTAATTTTTAATAAATTATATAAATTATTATAGTCTTTTTAGAAATTATATAATTAATAATAAAATCAGCACAATAAAATAATAAATATTGCGAGAAAAATTAGCTAATACAGTATATAGTAATATTAGTTTATATTTCTTATTTCAAACTTCAAATAATAACACAAGTTCTTAAAGCTTGGTAATAAATATTGTATTATATCTATATTTTGTTTTTTAACATCCGTAATATTGTATTTATGAACAAGAGTAGCAATTAAAAGTCTCAATTCCATCATTGCAAAGCTTTTATTTTCAAATAAAATTAAATTTGAAAGTTAGGATATTATAGAAAAGGTAGAGAAGGTTTAAGTTAGTTTTATTCTTAAATTTAATAAAAAAAAAAATATGACAATTTATAAACTTAAATTAGAGTTTACTTACTTTTGTCCAATACAATTTCTTGGTCCTAAAATAACCATATTTAATCAGTCAGGTTTTAGTAAATTTTTTTTTTGAATTCAATATATTTTATATATAACGAACCTGCAGAAAATGGGTAATAAACATCACGCGGAATATTCTCAGGCTCTAACCATCTTTCTGGTATAAACTCTTCAACGTCTTCACCCCAATATTTTGGATCATGATGGAGTTTGTAAAAGTTTAAAATTAAAGATGTCTAATTGTTATAAAAAATTCATAATCGAATGTTAGCAGACAAAACAAGTAAAACATATTCAGACGTTGAGATTTAAAAAACTTGCATCTTTGGGAATCATATATTTGCCAAGTATTGAATCTTTATCTGGAGTTCTTCCAATACCTATTTTTAAATGAGTTTAATATGTATGAATAGATCAAAATAATTGAACTTTCAATAATAGATAAGCTTTTACCTCCGTCCTGAAAGGCATAACCCCAAATAAGTAAGCAATTAATTAATAAATAAATAATCAAAAATACAAAATTCAACTAATTATATATATAATTGTACCAAAAAAACAGGCCATAATCTCATAGTTTCATTAATAACGGCATTCAAATACTTTAATTCTTTCAATTTATCATGTGTAGGCAGTTCGTCGATACTCAAGACTTTATCCAACTCTTTAACAAGAGACAATAATTTTTGTGGATTTTTAGAGAGTTGAACAATCGCCATTGTAGTTGTAAATGAAACTGAATCAGTTCCTGCAACTCTGAATAAATAAAAGTTAAACCGAAAGTTTAAATTGGAGATACTTATAATAATACAAAACTAGAAAAAAAGATAATGCCGTACAAAAATTCCAAGATCTGATCATAGACCTCATGATCTGTCATTCTATTTTCAGTTCCAATTTGCTTCTCTTTCTTATTTTTAGTTTTTTTTGTTTCATAATCGTCATCAAAGGTATTTAACAAAATTTGTAAAATATCATTTTTTTGTTTATTTGCTTTCCGACGAGATGTGATTATATTATTACTAAACTAAATCGAAAAAAAATTATAGACACTTAAAGGATCATACAGTATACGATAATATATGTAGCAGATTGAGTGCTTACATTTCTTAAATATGGATCTTCTGTTAACCAAGGTTTTAATAATGGAAATATTGATATCTGTAAATTTTTTGATATTAGTTCATCAATAAATAAAAAAAATTTCGAAATACAGTATTTTAATATTTTACTAACCAAAACCCTTCTCTTTAATTCAACCCAAACTTTTTTTGGCAAAGGATGTTCGCCTGTTTTGATATTGTTAAACTTTCCGCCAAAAGATGTTTCTCCGATTATATCCTTATTAAATAAAAATAAATTTGAAATGATTGTTTGTAATTCCAATAAACGCTTTATTTAAGAATTACTTACCACTGCACAAGTCTGAATAAGATTAACAATATTCAAAACAGGACCTTTACTTTTCAACATTTCATCAATATTATAAACCAAATCTTTAACACAAGATAGCATCAATTTTTCTAATGATGTAATGTATTTTATAGAGAATGCAGGTGAAATTACTTTACGCTAAATTCAAGATTAAAAAAAATATATATATAAATAAAGTTTGACTTTTGCGAAAAAATTTAAATTACTTTTAGATTTCGGATACATACGCGTTGTTTATGGAAGGTTTTATCACTTTATGTTGAATGAAAATATATAAGAATTCAATGTAAACGAAGGAAAGTATTCTTTTAAAAAAACGTACATTGAAGAAAATAAAGTTTCATAACTCTCGCCCTGTCTTAAAGATTTGTAAAATTCGCTTTTTGGAAAGTCCTAATAAACGGAATCAATTAAAATACAACGAGAGTATTGTATGTAATAAATTTAAAAATCTCACATTTGTTATAATCTATATATATATATATATATAAAGTTATTCCGAGAACAATTATACAGTAATTAATGAGAATAATAATAATAAACGTAATTACTTTTTTAATAACGTCTTTGTCTGAAATCATAACAAGCTTCGGTCCTTTATTTATTAAAAATCAAATAAAATCATTGCATAATCCAACAAATAATATTATGTGCGTTTACTAATAGAGTTTAAAGAAGACATACCAATCCTAACAAAATTTCCATATTTTGGTAAAGCTTCAAATTGTAAAAATTTCCATCTTTTAAATCAATACATATGCGTATATATAACCAAATAAAGAAGGATAGTTAGTATTTAATTATTTTATGAAACTCTTTTTTTAAAATTCTAATTCGACAAACTATCATCTTTTGAAATTACCTGTACCCATGCATTTGTTTAAAGGAAATAAAGAGCCGAGTCAATGAAAATAGCTTTGGTCCCGGGACATAGGATAGAGGACCGAAATATGCTGTGTATATAATCTATAATTAAAATGAATTTAATCATTTATTTTTTTCATAAAAACATAACGGCATATAATCATTATTCAAATTAAAAAGCATACATCATATAATAATTTCGAAATCCATGTTAATATAATGATCCCAAATAATTTAAATAAAATTTCAAGATCAATAAATTGATGAATCAATTGCGACATTTTGAAATTTTCGTTTAAAAATCGAGGCTTTTTTAAATTTTTGTTAAGTCGATCATCTTCTAATTAACGTTAAAAAGTTTATGAATAATTTAGATCATATATATAACGATAATGATTATATAACCTGATGAAGGAGATATACTGATAATCATGTTTGATATACTTTCCATAAATATTTAAGGTTATCTAAAAAAAATTACAAAGATAAATAGTAGTGGCAGAAAAAATTCGCGATCAGGTGATCGCGGTGCGGCCCGTAAGCGATATACACTTGTGTTTATATTATTACAATAGTCTTTAAGATGGAACCATCTCGGATTTTTCTGAGGTTGGACATTCGTCACATTTTAGCTTTGACTACGGCTGAAACCAAAATGTTGTTGGTTTAGTAAACAAGGCTTCTTTGGATTGTTTGTGCGTTTATGCATTTTAAATAATTAGAGGCTCTGTTTAATTTTCCATTTAGATGCGTGTTAATTTATAATTTCTAAAATAGTACAGTACGTATTTAAATGCATATTACGCATTATAGAAATTATTTTAAATTAAAATTTTAAATGCCAGAAATGAATAGACTTAGTTTTTTTTTTTTTTCGCTAACTGTGGCATTTCGCGTTGTTATATTACTTGTGTTATAACTAGCCACAGCTTATCATATACGCTAATTTGGTTCGACCCCAAAATTTATTACAGTATGATACTGTAGTATCTTTAGTTTGACAGTCTTTTAAATAATAATAATAAAAACCCCCTCAAAAAACCATTGGTTTTAGGGCGAGTCTATTGGTTTGACGGGCTGTTAACATATAAGATATGGAGTTTAAAAAAGGCCCAAAAAACCAAATTGGCTGATATGTATACGTTTTAAAGTTATAATAGCTAGAGGCTTTGTGCCATCACATTATCACAGCCGTTTAACAAACTATCGTAATGGATAAAGATCGGATTAAATACTAATACTTTCGTAAACTGAACTTTTTGGAGATTTTTTCGATATATAGAGAGATGATTATATCTAGTACGGGAAAATATACGGACGCAGCTAGAGTTGATAGTGGTAATTAGTGTGTGAAATTTGAATTATCAATAATGTTCTTCTATTGTATATAGTAGGTTTTTGAAATTTTATGTTCTCACATAAGTGTAACCAACCTTAAATTGAGAACATTGAATTTCGCACATTGGTGGTAACTTACTATGATGAGTTACTGGAAAGTTATGAAATTTAGGGCGTCCTCAAGTGCCTTAAACAATGGACCAAAAAAGTGTTAGAATTAATTTTAGCAAAAAAATATTTTTAGTGGGTCAAATGTGTTTATTACTAGGAAAACGGGATCCGTTGGATTCCGGAGCGCCGCTTCACTTCGAACAATGTTGTCATGTGAATAATATATTAAATGGTTTCTGCTTTTACAACTTGGGGAAAAAGGCACTATATTAATAATACTGCTGGTACGTACATTGTAAACGATCTGTTTCCAATAATTTAGTATGATACTTGAAGAAACAATTCTACAAAAGATCATTGGGGTACGGTATATTATCAGTTATGTAAAATTATATGTGGCCTCTGAAGGACTCTGAAAAGTAGAGTTAAAGACAGAAGACAGCCCTAAAGTTACGTTAATAATGCACATTTTAAAATTTATAAATATGCAAATGAATGATATTGATACGTAGGAATGATTTATTTGTTCTACGTACGTACATATTTATAATAATATATCCTTATATAGTAATAATATTTATTATACGATCTGTAAGCAATGCCTATAGGATCATACAGTATAAAAAGATTACACGTAAGAGACTAGCAGATAGAGACCTGCAAATGACCTGGCTCACCCAGTCTATTTTAATTAATATCATAAAAAGATAACTTTATTGGTGTTTTCCTAATGTTAAATTATAAGTTTAATCTTAAATATACAACAATCATATAGATGCATATATAATCTTAAATATACAACAATCATATAGATGCATATATAATCAAATATACAACAATCATATAGATACATATATAATCTTAAAGATATAATAATCATATAGATACATATATTGGTTTTATTGATCAATTTCGAACACCCGTATCAAGAACGTACTTATTATTAAATATTTGTAAATATTTGTCAATTGATATTCATTATTTGCTGTTTGATAGGGGTGTTCGAAATTGATCGACAAACCGATATAATCTTAAAATATAAGTCATACAATATCGATATAGTCAATGCTATATGATAAATTAGATAGAAATATGTGTTTAGAAGATTAAAAATATAGTAAATAAAAATTATAATTGGATTAAGTTGAATCTATCAACTCAATAGAATTCAATCTTTATAGCAATACACATGTTTGTCCTTCATCAATTCTAAGACCTGTTATAGCTTCCATTTCTTCAGCAATTCGTTCTCGATCGTCTTCTTTTTGTTTTTTGTACACTTCACGTGGAAAGTAAAGGGATAAGAAATTCATGTGACATATGTCCAAATTGGCTAATAAATAATATTAAAATTATTAGCGTTAGTTGAATATATTATATGTTTCTATAACTAGTAATTGATATACGTACTGTGATTCGCATTATATACAGCATCATTTGCCCGACAGACTGGGCAATTACGCATGCGTTTACGTATAGATTTAACTAGACATCTAACACAAAATACATGCGTACAACAAAGACGAATAGGTTTCCAGGCGATGTCTATTTAAATAATCAATGTTGTTATGCTTTAAAAAAAGGTTATTGTAGGCAAGATAATCACTGGTTAAAAAGATCAATATTTACCAGAAAATAGATAGTACAAATATTCACTTAATTACAGTAAATATATTTAAATATTCAATATTTAAATATATTTACTGTAATAAAATGAATATTTGTACTATCTATTTTCTGGTAAATATTGATCTTTTTTAACCAGTGAATGTTTCCTTTGTTTGTTTTTTTTTTAAAAAAAAACTTACTCAGGCAAATAGGGCAGTTGTAGTCGACGAGTTGAGGGATAATGGTTGTTAATTGTTCCTATTTACATTAATAAAACAATTATTATTATATGCACATATATTCTTGAAAAAAATATGCACAAATATGAATGAACGTATACCATTGCATGACAAAGAGATTTAAAAGTATTCTCGGAAAGAAACGAATCCTTTTCCACTAAATGTTGGAAGTCTGAAATCGAACTGAAAAATCTACGGTTAGTCACACAGGATTTAATTTAACAGAGCAAAAAAACAGCTTACTTTGGATGTGTTTCCTTGTCATGCTTTTCAAGAATTATTGACGTTGCCATTTGGTTAAGATATTGAAATTGTTTCATCAAGACAAGACTATTATTGAGCTATAGCATAAAAAAATAATGCATTAAAAATCATGGTCACGTGACCAATATATATATAAAGTATGTACAATACCTTCAAGAATTTTTCAAAAACGGTTTTGGATGATGGATCTTTTAACTTTTTAACCTGTAAGCAATTTTACTTAAATAACATGTAAATTTTTATGAGCAAAGCCTAAATACTGTATACTTACCAAGTGGTTTTTGTTTACTTTATCGATAAAACAAGCTAATTGTTCTTGGGAAAATTTCCAATTTCTTTCTTTTCTGTCAGCCTCAGTATTGCCAACAAAAATTTTATCTTCAATATAAATTAGAAATATTTTACGCCAAGTATATAAATCTTTCTTAAAAGGTGACGTCTATTTAAATTAATAACTTTATGTCAATTGACCTTGTATTTTTAACCGAAATTAAGTTAAAAACAATGTTAACTTACTACATCGATTAATAATTTTTGTAAATTTTGTAGGTTAGTGAGAAATTTGTCTTGATTCTGTTTTTGAAGACAATTGAGTTGATAAATCTCTTCCAAGAGTATGATGAAAAATTTGCCGTCGGATTCAAGTTCGATGCATGATGTACTATTAATAGAAATCTATTTAAAGATTCATGTGAAATAATTGATATAATTTAAAAATCGTTATAATAATAACCTATGAATTTGATTTAAAGCTTTTTCCATATGGGACGCTTCATAATCTACCAAAGGCGTTAGTTCCACATTATTACTGCTCAAAGGGACTAATGACAAAGGTGTGACCGAACTAAGATTATATTTCATGACAGATAAGAAGTCTTCAAAAGTATGTTCACAGCAGTGAGAACAAACTTTAACACATAGACGAATATGAACTGGACCGCCTATATTCGAAAAAAAAATAAGCAAAGTTATTATACCTTCGACTTACAATATAATTTGCGGTTGTATAACTAAACAAAAACCAAACTATTACTGGTCAAATAAATTAAATTTTTCTAGGAAATATATTATAAAATATAGTACAAATCTTTACTTAATTACTGGATAATAGACAATATTTAAATATAATTACCATATTTTAATAATGTATTATCTAGTAAAAAGTACCACTTTTCTACTAGTATATATTCAATTCTGTTGCTTCCATCTGAAATAATTTGTAATACGTCTTTGGTATTTAGTTCTTGGACAATTTTCTTAATATATTTTTTAAGAGGTTTGTATTCAATAAGGAATGGTCTCCATTCGGAAGGAATTTTTTCAATACTATTTTCTAAGCTCTCGTTGTATTTCATGGTTCTAAAATTTTCTATTTATTAAACGAGTGTGACATTATTGTTATGTTCAAAAAAAATTAAAAAAATAAAAAATAAAAAAAATTAACTAAATGGCATTTTATCTTTTTTTTTAGGGGCATGATAAAAAAAATCCGTATTCATTGATTGATAGTGGACGGAAAAAAAAGGAAATCTCAAGACCTCACATGATTTACTTTTTTGTAATATTTTGGCGCTATATCTTACTTTTGATTAGTTACTAAAAGGATCTCAATTTGAAATTTATACAGTATTTTACTGTATAACTGATGAGGTACCCTTTATACTCCCTTGTAAGAGACTCGATGGCCGATTTTATAGTAATATTTTTTTCCTAATGGACTAATATACCCTCTTCACATAATACCTCTCACATAATATACCCTTCGCCATACAATATACCCGGGTACTTTATCCAGCGAATTACGGTAATTCGCACATTTTAAATAAACAAAACGATTACAAGGACATAATTTCAAGCAGGTACATCACGGAACTACCCGATGAACATCAATTACCGGAATAATATATCTGATATGATAAACGAATACTACAGATTCAAATAATCAAATTTGGTAAGCCCAATAAAATTGACTAACATTATGCTCTAACCCTAATGCGGCTAATCTGTCGGGATTTTGACCTTTCGGGATTTTAAATATTCTATTAAAGATTTTAATTGATAATATCTTAACGACATTAACAAATTAAATGACTGTTTTTTTTATTTGATTTTTATAATTCAAATAAAAAAAAAATCATCGAATTTGGTAGGCTAAAGCCAGGTACGTAAATCACGGAACTACCCAACACTGGTCAAGAAAATTATGTTTTTACCAGGAAATCTATTGTAAACTATGGTATAAATATTTACTTAATTGCTGAGTAATAGACAATATTTAAATATAATTATCATATTTTAATAATACATTATCAAGTAAAAAATACGGAAATAATATATTTAATTTGTTGTATTCTATTTTTTTTTTAAAAAAAATTTTTTTTAATTGACAATACCTTAACAACGACAAAGTCGTTGTTAAGATTAGTGGGGAATGGCCGGGCTAAACCAGGAAATTTGTGGGCCGTTGTGGGCCGGGCATTGTAACTCTCTAGAATATAATGTAACAACATAAGCGGTGCAAATGTAGTCTATAAATTGAACGTTAATTAAGTGAGCAACATAGAAATTTTTAATTCGAAATTACCAGCTCCAATACAGCAATGCAAAAAATACAGGGTTTGAAATAAAAAAAAAAACCAGTCCCTAAATAAATGTTTGATTTAAAAAAAATTTGCTGATTTTTGATTGAAAGTAAATGCCTTATATTCATCCTTTTGGACTCCAATTCTTCTTCATACATCTCAGCAGACCTTCGATTATAAATAATGCTTCATGTTCGTCCTTTTCTATTCAATTTTAATAACTATAGTCAAAGTACTGTATATATTCCATCAGCATATCCCATCTCGCCTTCGGAAGAGATAAACAACCCTTTTTTTTTCAAATCTCGGAAACCTAAGAAAGGTAAAGGCTAGAGCCCATTTTCCACAAAAAAAAAAAAAAAAAGAAAAAAAAAATTTTTTTAAACCCAAATAAGGGAATGTTTTACCTTTTTAGTTTGAATGCCCACGTATACAATCAAATCGAATGTCCACGTATACAATCAAATCGAATGTCCATCATGCTAAGCCACATGCTTGTAAGTTACAATACATTCGGTCAGATGGAATGTCTGAATGTCCGAAGGCGAATAAAAATGATTTATGCTTATAAGATTTTAAATTCTGCTGACACCTTTATATTCTATGACTAAATTAAGCGAATGAAATGATTTGAAAGATATTAATAATGTAAGTATTATGAGCATAATTTTGAACATGTTTTGCTGATTTTAATTCAACTAATTATTGCGGTTTGCAAAATGATGTATTTTTGTTCTTGTAGATTATGTTTCACATAAATATTTGAATAAGAAATCACTTAAAAATTGTGCAAATAGATGGAAATCAGAAGAATTTACATGTTAGCCAAGATATATAAAATTTTGCAACCCGTGATAATAAATTATTTTTATATTCACCAACTACTGTAAATTAAAGCAAATGAAATTATTAATGGTCTTTATGTTCATGTTTATAAATATGATGATGATTGAGTATTTATGAATTAGTATTTATAAACGTGATTTGCTAAATTTAATTTTGACAATAATAAAATTTTTGTTTTATACCTTTTGCTAGGAGTTTGAGAATATGATACTAAACTTTATGAGCTAGGTTAAGCTGGGCCTAGTTAAAATAAAGCCTAGCTTAGTCTGTATTAATTAAACTAGGTTTGAGCTTATGATTTTTTTTTTGAATTTGGGTTCAAGTAAGTTTAGTTTAATCTAGCCTGACCTAGTCTATTTTTCATCTTAATATATAGTAGTAGTTATAAGAATATTGAAACTAATTAGTTATTAGTTATCTTTTAAATATATTGCAAACAAATTTGCTTATAACTTTTAAAAATATTTTTTAATATTAGATAAAAATCTTAAATATTAATTTTAATAATATATTTACTAATTAAAAATAGTTTTAAATATCTGTTTTATTAATTTTATTTAAGAAATTTTTTTAAATTTATTAGAAATCTTTTGAGTAATAAAGTTTTAAAGTTTAGTTTTAATAATTTTTACTATAAAATTTTTCTTCTAAAATTTATAAATTTTATATATTTTTAAAATTAATTTTTTTTTATTTTTATATAAGTTAATTTTTTTAATAAAATCATAAAAATTATGGGTTTTGTAATTTAACGCCTATGCATTGTAATGCCAACCAATCAGATTGCAGGATCAGATGTAACATGAAAATCAAAACAAAAGCGATTTTTTAAAGAAATCACTTGTAACTCAATTTTTCGTTTATGAAACCTCCTTTCGCATTCTAATAAAAAAAATTCCTTGCAAAATTTTGGGTTAGAGATATTTCGCGACATTGCCTTTCCCAAACCCTAATATAGCCCTGACCCTAACTCTAAACTAATGCGCAAAGAGTTTGTTTTGATTTTCATGTTACAAGATCAGGAACTATCAGAATCGCATAGACGAAAAATAATAAAATTTAAAAATTATAATTCTTTAAATTACTTTAAGAATTATATTTTTAAAACTTAAAAAAGTTTATCTAAAAATATTAATAAAATTTTCAAATAAAAATTTTCTTAAAATTGTCTATTATTAACTTATAAATAATATAAATTTTTTGTTTTATAATATAAAAATAAATACTACAAAAATATAATCTTTATTTTTAAATATTCTTATATAAATTTTTACTTAGATATCTTAAATTTTTAAAAATATAGATTATTGTTATATTTAGGCTATTATATAAACAAATTTGTTTATATTTCTTTATAATCTAAGAAATAGTATTTAAAAAATCTGTATTAGATAATACTTGATACAAATTATATTATATACTAATTAAATTAAGTATTACTATTTTTTATATTTTTTAAAACTTAAATTGAAGATAATATAATAATGTTTTAATAAAATTTAATAATTTGTTATTTTAATTTTATAATTAAAATAAAAAAATTATTAAATTTTTAGTTAAATAGTTATTAAAAAAATTTTATTTAAATAAAATAAATTTATTCTATTTATATAATATATAAAATTTTTTAAAATTTTAAATAAAAATTTTTTACTAACTACTTAACTAAATTTATATTTTTTATTTTAATTCTATAGTTAAATATAATTAAAATCAAAAAATATTAAATTTAATTAAATAGTTGTTAAAAACTTTTATTTAAAATTAAAATAAATTTATTTATCTATAAATAAAAAAGTATAACTATAATTACCAGAAAGAAAATTACTAGTTTTAAAATAAACAATAAATTATATTTTAAAAAAACTTTTTTTTTTTAATTTAACATTAAAATATAGTCTAAGGTTTTATTTAGATATTAATATATTCAAAATTTAACAAAAATTTTTTTTTTTTGTTATAATATTTACAAGTGAATTTTTGAGATATTAGTATTTTTTTAAAAATTTTTTTGTTTTTATTATACAATATATTATATCTAATCTTACAAATTTATTAGTTAATATCATATAAATAAAATCTTATTAGTTAAAATTAGCAATTTTTTAAATAAAAATATAGTATTTAATATTTATTAAAATTTTAAACAAAAGTTTTTTAATAATTAACTAATTAAATTTAATAAATTTAATTATTTTAGTTTTGTAGCTAAATATAATTTTTTAAAAAAAATATAAAAATTATTAAATAATTATTAAAAAATCTTTATTTAAAGTTAAAATAAATTTATTTTATTTATAAACAAAAATATAGTTTTTAAAATTTTTTAAAATTTTAAATAAAAGTTTTAGTAATTACTAAACCAAATTTGTAATATTTTTATTTTTAATTACTTTTAACTATAAAACTAAAATAAAAAAATTATTAAATTTAGCTAAATAATTATTAAAAAATTGTTTATAAGTTGTTCACAAAATGAAATAAATTTAGAACTCTTTCTTGTACCCTTTAATTTTATAATAAAATTCAAAACAAGGGAAAAAAGAATATACTTTTGTCTATATGTATTATATTAAATATTAAATAACTATACAACTACACAAGTCTACTCTACTACACACAAAGAAAGATTAAGAGAAGTCAAGAAACAATTTCTCAAACACTAGCTTTATTACAAAAGTTGTTGCTAACTTTGTTGGCAATATCCAAAAATACAAGAGATATACAACTACCTCAAGACTCTGCTACCTCAAATACTACTAGCTATCTTACAAACATAATTGCAAACAATAAAAAGTCTAAAAAGAGAAAAACTGAATTACAAGATGAATCTTTAATCCAAACCTAAATACAACTCATCAAAAATATAGATATAATTAAGGATTCTAGCTTATCTCTATCAGATTTGATTATGATATCACTATCAACTAATATAATAATAACAATAGGTATAGCAAATATTACTATCTAATATAGATATAGAATATATAAAAATTCCTACACCATATTCTGCTAATCCTAGCACCCAAACTAGTCCTCATGATCTCATGCAGGGAGCCCAAACTGAAGCTACAGAAACAGAGTCAGTTGATATAGTATAAGGAGATAAAGCACAAACAAGAATATATAGTCAAACACTAATGGGTAATACCTTAAACAAATCGAACTAACTCAATAGAAGCAATATTAAATGAAAACTAATAGATGACAAAAAAGAGAATAGAAAGAAAGCCTGAAGCTATCACTAGCAATATGACAAAAAGAAAACTTTGCAACTTTTAATACAATTTTATAGAACTATAACAAAATTATCAAATTGCTAAGTTCTTTAAAAGCTATAAAAGAGTTTATAGTATATAAACTTAATACTTTACCTAACTAAACTTATATTCCAGAAGCTATTAAAGTAAAATTCTTTTACAGAAATATAGCTTTTTTCAGAACCTTTACTCATACCATGGCTAATAGGTCTCAACATCAAGTTGAATTCAACTCATTATTCAACAAAGTACTTGTGGTATACAAAAAACAATATAATACACTCCAAACAAATAAAAATAATTAAGACCAAATATTTGAAAAACTAAGAGCCAAGCTCGTACTAGACTACTTAATATCACTAGACTTCAATACTATGGATACCTAAGAAATTATATACTACATATACTACTTATCTATCTTTTCAAAAATATCACTCAAAGAAAAAATAGACTTCAATATACTGAGAAAGATAGTTTCTAATGCAATTGATATGACTCATATTTCTTTACCAAAAAATCCTGAACAAATATCAGATTAACTTAAAAAAGCAATTCCATTCAATTTGCCAATTTCTAACAGAGCTATTTTGGCACCTATATCAAGAACACTACAAAGGATATTTACTTTTAAACTAATATCTGAATTTTATATCAATAATACTAGGCTTCCTCTACCAAAATATCTATACCTACTAAATGAAGTATTAAAAGATATATTTCTAATTACTTAAAGAGCAAATCTAAAAAACTTGGCTTCTTATCAAGATAAATTATAAAAATATTATATATTTTGAAGAATACTAGCTGACTACTTTGATTTACCTGCTACAAAATCACTACTATTACTCACACCTCAAGAGCTACTAAGCAGACTTTACAACTTCTTCCTATTTCTTTCTAGAGATGCAGAAGATTTCAAACAACATATTCACATACTATATCAAGATTTTGCATTTACTAGATTGCTAAATGACTATCTTATTTAACCTAAATATTTACTAGCTAATCTTGTAATATTAAAACTTAAACCAGAGTTTATGTTCCTAATAAAAAACAAGGAAACAGTATTGCACTTCTTGGAAATACAACCTTTAACTTATAAAATTCTAATGTCATTACCAAAAATTTATTACGAATTCAACTATACAGAGCTTTCTAATTTATCAAATGATCCAAAAGAAGTAACTGTAGTTAACCTTATACTGCTAATTTTCTCTTTTAAAGAATTTATAATTGCAGCAAAAATACCAAGAGAGCATTACTTCTTCTATAATATACTACAAGAATAGATAAATATTTCAACAAAAGAATTAGATGTAAACTCTAGAGAATTATCTTCAATACTAAACGAATTACAAAGTATTATAAAAAAAAAGAAATAAAAGTATCTATATACCTATTACAGAATACAAAAATATATCAAATACTCTAAGAAAGATCAAAGAGTATTTTGACGTTAGCTATTTTTCTAATTACATCTTTCAACTTCTGATTTACTTTCTTCAGACTGGGATATTTTCACAGACATATCTACTAATATATTACTAACTTCATTAGGTTCCTTAAGAACAGAAGCAGAAATGCAATATGATTAACTATGATCATAAATACAACAAATAATATATCTACACTAACAAATACAATATCTATACACAACACTAATATTAAAGAAAAAATTAATATAGTTATACATAATATAAGAGAACTTAACAATAATCTAAAATTGCAAGAATAGATTATATACTGCGAAGAGTAGAACTTTCATATAATTTCTCTTACTGAAACTAAACTCATAAATATTAATGAAATTGATTTCTTATATAAGTTCTATATTTCTAACTATATTCTAGTACTTTCTAAACAATGAGAAGCTTCTCTTAGTACAGCAATTATGATGCATAACAAACTACAAATATATATACACAATATTATAACCTATTCTGATACAGCAATTTGCATTAATTTCTTCTTTCTAGGAAACAATAAGATATATATAATTTCACTATATCTAACTAATGATCATATAGATCTACTAGAACAAACTTAGAGACAAGTCTCCTTATAGGTTACAGAAGCAAAAAACAAAAATTAAACTAGTATAATA